AAAACAGTAAATAATAAAACATGTAGTTCGATGATGGTGATTTATGAATGACCAACTTTATTGGATTTTCTGACTGTTTCTAACTGGTCTTGACTGTTCTGAGTTGGTACGATAGAAGATCTATTATTATTATTATTATTATTATTATTATTATTATTATTATTATTATTATTATTATTATTATTATTATTATTATTATTATTATTATTATTATTATTATTATTATTATTATTATTATTATTATTATTATTATTATTATTATTATTATTATTATTATTATTATTATTATTATTATTATTTTCCACTGCGAATCACAGCAACAAATTCAGCCTGAAACTGTTGTAAAAATGTTGTAAAAAAATACAAAATGAGAGAATGAATGAAAGAAAAGGCAGAAATGATTAAAAACTAACACATGTAACTTTGAGCAACCAAAAACAACAGCATATGTGTAAAACGGGTACGGAATAAATAGTTCCAAACAGTAATGTAGCCAAGTGTTCCTTAAAAAAATGTATAAAAAACAACCTTTTTTTACATATACAAAAAACAATAAAATCAAAAAAAATTTAAAAAACACCACTATTTTATAAAAACTCAATAAAAACCTCCCCTTCATAAAACAAAGGTTTTATTTAGCCTTTTATAAGGTGTGAGTTGATCCCAGCCCTCCCCCCAAATTCTGAAAATCAAAGATATCACTGTAGTTACACAGAGTAAAGAGTCTGGGGAGAGCTTCACTGGACACTATTCATTTAATGCTCATTTAAAAATCACTTTCTAAAACATAATAAAGTAATATTATCGAGTTATTTTTAATAAACTACAGATAAGTATTTTTTTCCCATAAAAACTCCGTGAATATTCCCACGTGTACTTCTCTGTTTCCTTTGTTGTTAACGGGACTGAACTCGGCTCTAATTCTGAAAATCACCTCAGTCTGTTTCATTCCGTCGACTTTGACTTCAGTGTGTGTGGTGTGCGCGCGTGTGTGTGCGCGCACACGCGTGGACCCGTGGGGCAGTGCAGCAGCAGCAGCAGCAGCAGCAGCAGTGGAGTCACTCCATCTCTTCTTCTTCTTCTTCTTCTGTAACAGTTTCTCAGCCCAGATTCCGTCCTGCTCTGGACTTTGGCTCCGGACTCTCGGACCTTTCTTCCCGCAGCAGAACTCCTGTTCTGGCCGCCGCGGCTGCACCGCCATCGACGGAGAGCAGCGGAATAACTGAGGATTAATTTTGTGGAATTTACGGATCAGTGAATTGAGGATTGAGTTGGAGAAGAAAGTCCGTGAGAAGTGTTGATGCTGTGGCTGTTTTTTTTTCTTTCTTTTTTTTCTGGTTCTTCCTTTTTGTGAATGTAAACTGATGCGCGTCCGGACTATGCTGTGTGGAGCGTGCGTGGGATTTCCACGGTGTGGTGGAGTCGAGGTCTTTGCCCCAGCGCCGGAGGGAGTTGAGTGTTGAGTGCATTGGCGACATTAGCGGGTCACGGAGCCGTGGACGTGTCTTCACCTCCTCTTTTTCTGCCCACGGTTCGGTGATGCTCACGGAAACGCGTGACTGACCGTGACTTTCTGATGCTGCAGCCACACCGCCACAACAACACGGGAACCAGCGGCTGCGCATGTTGTGCGCACCGCGGTGCCCAGACCCCGGGTCCTGTACGACGAGTGTGATCGATGTAGCATCTCTGGAGACCCCGACGGGGCCGACGGGACACAGTCAAAACTGTCTAAGCTGTCGTATGTTCAAGTCCAAACGCTCCGGTCTCGTACGGCGACTGTGGAGAAGCCGTCTGGTCACCGAGAGCGACGGGCGGGATGGAAGCAGAAGAGGCGAGGGAGGACGACACGCTGCGTGGGGAGGACACTCGGGGAATCTCTACAGACACGAGCAGCGTGCGGTGACGAACGCTGAGCCGTCACCCGGGCTCGGCGGGGAGGCTGGAGACCTGACGGAGTGCGCGGAGAGAGAAGACGGCGAGAAGCCCGACGATGACCGCGGTGCCATGTGCGTCCCGGAGCACAGAGGCCACGGTGCGGGACAGGAGGGCGACACTAGTACGGTGACGTGTTGTTTATTTGGGGAATGGGACCGCCGACCACGGAGCCCATATTGGGCCCCGAGGAGGGACGGAGCGGGCTCTTATCAGTGCGCAACGAGACGCGGAATGTTGGAGGACGAACTCGCCATCACCGCTCATGTGTTTTTGAAAAGACTGAAGGAGAGACCTCTGGAGGCCTTGGCCAAGGCTGTGGACGCCAGAGGGGGGCTGCCCAGCGACTGTGTCATGGTGCCCGACACCGAGCTGCAGGTCGGGGACCATGGCATCTCCCCCCTCCGGCTGCTGTGTAGGCTGTACCGCTGGAGCGACCTGCCGCTCTCAGCGCAGCTCAAACCGCTGAGCCACTGCCAGAGCTGTGGAGCAGTGGACAGCAACAAGGTGTGCTGCAACCCCTACCACTACAGCCGCTTATGTGAGCCAGGTAAGGTCACCCAGCCTATGAGGGTGGGGGTGAGGGTGAGGGTGAGTCCCCCCTCCTCCTGATAACCCCCGCTGTATGAGAGGAATCATTGTTTTTAAATCTTTTGTTTTTAAATATGAGAGGAATCATTGTTTTTAAATCTACCTGCCGTGTTTTTATTTTTGTTTTGGAAATCCACGTCATTTCCATCTTTAAAAGTTGTGAAGATCGAAAAGCTTTTTGAATCACAAATGAAATCATTACCAACAAATATAGTCATATATATGTATATATATGTGTGTATATATTTACATATATATGCGAGCTTTATTGTTCCACGAATCAAAACATGTCTTTTAGTCCATCGTGTTCATATATATTTATTTCTAATGCATCGTTTTGCAGATCACTGTATCTTTAAGGTTTTGTTCAGTTTTCCGACGTATCTCGGAACTTGAATCTATCTCTGAAACTTTAAACAGTGAATCAGTCCAACACTGAACACCAACGTCACCCAGACCCAGGTTCAAACCCCGGTGCCGCGATACTTGACCATTACTTAGATTTCCTCTCCACATTCCTAAGTCGTTACGTACGTTTGTGAATTTGCGTAAAAAAAAAAACTTTGCAGTTTTCCAAATCTTCCAGTTAAGGCTGTGCCTCGTGTTGCATTCAGGCTCCTTTTCTTTCTCTCTCTCTCTCTCTCTCTGTCTCTGACAAGGAGGTCCTCCTCTTGTTATTTAGGTGAAGGAGTGCCGATAATATACAGTTTGCTTAGTGCTGGCGCCAGACTGACTCGCTGGCTATCTGACTGACTGAGGACTCCGGCAATTACTGGCTCTGCTCTTAAAGGGGCCGCAGCCACAAAAAACCCGAGTCCACTGTGGACTGGATTCTGTCTCAGCAGGAGTCCACTGTGGACTGGATTCTGTCTCTGCAGCAGAAACAGAAACAGAAACAGACACAGAATCAGCAGAGCCGTACACAGAAAAAAAAAACAAAAAACTGAGATATATTGGTTATGTTTAGGATTAAAAATAAATGTAATGGGAATTGAGACACAGGAGCTTCAAGCTCATTTCTTTTTTAACGAAGGGCCACATCAGCATCATGGCTGCCATCGAAGGGGCCGCTTGTAACTGGGTGATGTGTAACGTCTCTATAACATGTTGACGGATTAGTCACTGCATTTGTTTCAACTTTAATTCAAGTTACAGATGTTGTGCGTTGAACGAGTCACAACTGAACTCCTCTGAATGACCAGGTGACGAAAACCTATCAAATATGGTTCCTTTTGTCATAACCAGGGACCAAATACCACATAACATCGGCCGACGTGGCATTTCACAAAAACAATTGGCTGCAGACAGCCCTGCAGGGGGAGCTCCAGACATAACTAATTACAGGTGCTTTGAACACATACACTTGTTAACACGATGTCTGACATCTGTAATTAACTGCAAACAATAACGGGGTTTGTCAAAGTCTGCGCCTCTGGTTCTATTCTTCAACCTTTGTTAATACTTCTTTGTAACGCTGCTATCTAGTGGCGGGAATGCAGTTGTTCACAGTCAGGTAACACTAGACGTGAGTACAGACGTTTATCTCGAGGCATCGCTCGAGCTTCGGCCGGCCATTTAGTAAATAAGTTGAGGGGCGAGGACTGACCCGCAAACCTTATGTTAGACACAGGTGTTGTAGACATTTTTTTGTTGACTTGGTTTGGGGATCTCACCATCACTGGTCCAGAATAAAGGATCCAGGACAGGCACGGGCAAACCTTTTGACTCGCGAGTCACAATTGTCCTAAAATTGAACACCATCTATTGGGGAAACGTGGGTATTGCAGGGAAAATGCAGAAGTATGATGATAATATGAATAAATTATGTAATTTGGAAACGTTTGGCAGGCCGGATTAAAAGGCTGAACGGGCTGCATCCAGGCCCCCGGGCCTTAGTTTGCCCATGCCTGATCCAGGATGACCTTCAAAAACAAATATGAATTTAACAATTGTAATATAAAATAATATGGGCAGATTTTACGATCAGTTGCTTTATTGATCGTTTGAGGCACCACGTCAGTCAAATTTCATTTTTTTATTTCATAAATTTGTTACAATTTTTAATAAATACTATAATTTAATATCCAGTTTCTTTTCTAACCCACGGGTGAACTTTTTCATAATGGATGAAAACTTCATTTCCTTTCACTTCAAAGTTACTTTTTTTTCTGAGCTACTGTACTTTCAGCTTCCGTCCACGCAGCTCGGCCTCGACCTCCATGTTCCCTTTGAGTAAATTCAAACACTGAGACTAGTTTGATGTTTTGCCGTTTGCAGGAAATCATAACAACCGCTCTGTGTTGACGAGTCGGACGACAAACAGTTCCAAAAGCAGCATATTTTGATTCTAAAATAAGCTTTCCGTGTAGCTGATTAAAAAAAATCATTCATGTTTTTCTTCTCATTTTTTTTTCACATTTTTAAAAGGTCCATTGAAGACTGTGTTGATTCATTGAAGACAGAACATTTGAAAAACTCAATTATATTTATAATAAACTATAAAGGTATAGATATTATTTATACAGTTATTCAAACTGTTTTAACTCTTTATCCTGAGCTTTACTTTCAGTTTGGAAACAATTTATTGCTTTTTTTTTTCTATCTTTTGACCAAACATCAAAACTATTTAAAACTAAATCAATGACTGAAATGGAAGCGACGTTGATGGTCGTTCTAGACGTATTCAGAATAGAAAAGACACGATTTGGAGGTGTGTCCTGCTGTGTGTGAGCGAGAGAGTTCCATATGCAGATGTTTTTGACTCAGTATCTGTGATAAAAAAAATATGGACAAACGTCAATGTCAAAATAACATTCATACTATTTTAGAACAATCTTCGCTTGAAAACAGCAAAGATCAGTTTTGATACCTAGAAATTCAATGTTTTTGTTTTAATATTATGAAACTTTTTTTGTTAAAATCCCCCAAAAAAACTCCACTTAAAATATTTTCTCTGTCTTTTTTCTGGTGAACAACACTTTTATTTTACAGTATTATTTTAAAAAGGCGACAGAGCAACACATTAGTAATTACAGTCTAGTTTTGATTGTCGTGAAAATCACAGTGTCTGTTTTTGTGTCAGCAGATTTTCCCTCGCTGCAGTTTAGATTTAAACGGTGTTATACTGTAGTTTGCTGGTGTGGGAATATAAATTTCAGGAGAGACAGTTGTGCCGTGTAATGGATGATAATCTTTTTGTTTTGACTCAGATGATAATTGAGGATTCAGTCAACACGTCCTTTAATTTCATTTTATTTTTTTTTTTTTGTTCCATTTCCAGAATCACCTCCTCCTCCGTACTTTCTGTCCCGTTCAGACGAACACAAGCCACTGGGTGAGTTTGGAAAATGTGCCACTACATTACGACTCAGTGAGTGACAGAGAGGGCGGGGTCATAACTCTACACTGGAAAACAAGTGTGAATATCTGATGAAAAAAAAATCAACAAAAAGTTGGAGGAGCGCCATCTGTACTGAGTTTAGTAGCTGTTCACTAGCTTTTTTTTTTTTTTTTGCTAATACAGTGGTTTGCAAAGTGAGGGGCGGGTCCCCCAGATGACACGGAGTTATTGTAGAAGGCAAATTGACATCAATTCAAATAGATTCCTAAACCCAAAAAAAAGCACCATCATTTCATTACTGGGAATAAAAGTTCTGTAGGAAATACAGCGTGGAAATAAAGTTTAGTGACATTTCCTACCATTACATTCAATTATAGATGTATCTTTTAGATCTTCACTGATTTACATCGTTCTTCAGATCTTTATCTCCAACTCATTCTTCTTGTGTTTGTTTCTCATCATCCAGACTCAACCGTGTCTTACACTGAAACCGTGCCTCCCCTCTTCTCCAGTCCGCCTCACATTTTGCCAACAGACTACACAGGTGAGTACCTGCGTCACCGTTGGCTACATGAACATGGTCTACGCAAAGGTAGACCTTGAGGCGCTGCTCAGTTCTGGTTTTTAAATACGATTTTATTTAAATTTTTAAACTCAGAGCTAACTGGCATGCTAATTAGCTGTTAGCCCAGCGCAATCAAATAGGTTGTTACTGCAAAAACTGAAAACGCTCGGCCCGTTTGACTCGATGTCTGCCCTGATTCAAATCGATGTATGGATCAAATAATCTCACTGGTTGTTGGATTATTAGTGGAAGATAAAAATGTATAATCTCCTTAATTAGAATACTTTTGAAGTTAGCAAACTGATGTAAGAAAAGGTACATTTTGCTAACGTAGTTGAAGGGAAACAACAAAATGTTTAAAAAAAAAAGGGAAGATCTCCAGTTAGGAGGTAGCCTGAAAGGAGCTAAGGAGCTAGCTTTTGTAAAGTTATTTAAAATTATCTTAGAAATTTCAGAAAACAAGTCTTTTTTTTTTTTTTTTTTTTTACCTCTGTAGCAAAATATAGCCTTCATAAAGTTAGAGCAGAAGAAATAAAAATGAAATTCCACCAAAGTCCCTGTTTGTAAAAGATCAGTTTTGGTAACAAACTTGTCGCCGTCGGAACTGGGATGAAACCAGTCACCAGAGACTAACGCTGCTCGAGGCCGGACGTCCAACACGGCTGCCATTTGGCTGAGCTGTGGTGTCACTTGTGCTTTTAAGGTGTGAGCGTCAGTGGTGCGTTCACTTACCTCGGATCTAATGCACACTGAAGCTGCCTTTTTCAGAGTGGCATGAATGACTTTATTGCTAATTAGTTTGTAGATGTTTACCTTTAAACATAAATGAAGGTAGTATTTGTACTATTTGTAGTATTTGAAGTACTGATGTTATTGTGTCGTATATTTCCTGCTACTTTCAAAGGCAGTAAACGCGACCAAAAAGTCCTCGCTGTGAAGCTTTCATTGTCAGCGTGGCTCAGCGGGGGTCCGGGGGTCTAGATGGCACGTCGGTGTCTCTCCCTGTCCCTACGTTTTCCACGGCAGCAGAAACATTCTGTGGGATGAAGCTGCAATAAGATCCCTGTGCGTACTCCCAGACCACCCATCCCCCCTCTTCCCCTCTTTCTTTCCTCAAATCCCTCCATTCCTCTCGGCAATTGAGCAGTGGAAAGAGGCTGGCATTTTGAGGGGCGGGGAGGGTGTGTGTGTGTGGGTGTGTGTGTGTGTGGGTGGGGGGGCAGAGGTGTAGAGTTTTTGTGAGGCTGTGTGTACGGTTTGAGAGACAGGGGGTGCAGGCTGTGGGCTGAGGGCTGAGTTTGGACAGGAAACAGCCCCCTCTAGATGGTGAAACTGGAGCTTTATTTGTTTACGCGCCGGGGTCGGTTGGAGAGGTCCTTGGAAGCGTTAGAAGAAACCCACAAACCCACTCAATCAGGGCTCCCTGGGCTCAGTTGTGGACGGTGTTGAAAAGGTAGATGGGCGACTATTAAGT